TCGGTGGGGGGTGGGGAGTTGGACGGGACCATGAATTAACTGTGTTACCCGTGAGAAAATCATAAAGGATAAATAAAGTGTTAAGGACTGATTTTAAAAGACATTAGCCATGATCTTCCAGCCTTTGTGCAGGGTCCTTTGCCCCGATACAGATGGTATTACAGTGCACAAGAGTCTGTATAGTGAACTGCTAAAAGACTGTACTGCATGGTAGAAGAAGGTTTTAGATCTGAAAGTAACTTAAAAGTAGCAGTACTTCTCTGTAAAATGCGCTTTTCCAAAATAAAACACTACATGTAAAGTTCTAGGAGTAAAAGTACATATCTCAACATGGTGTGCAGTGTCCTCTTTAAAAATTGGAGAGGTTGCAGGCCTATAAACCTATCTACAGCAAATGGACAATATCTGAATATCTGTCATGTCCTTCATAAATTGAAAAAAATCCAGCAAAGACCTGACACAGAACTTGAGAGATCCTTCTGCCTTTTTTGCTGAGAAATGGTCAGCAAATCACTGCAACTATTCTCCATTTTACTAGCAAAATATATAAAGAAATGAGGGGTGGCCCAAGACTTTTGCACATTATTTTTGCATAGATTTTATGGCTCAAGATGATTAATTTTTAAATGTTTATTTGGATCCAAAAGCAGAGCACGCATAATTTTTTGAAGGACTAACATTTCAAGATCTATTTATTTTTGGTCCTCTCTGTTATTTGGACTATTTTAAATACATATTTAAAGGGTATATGTTGTCCTGTGGTCAGGAACAAGTTACAGTTTATCTTGGCATTACATCCCAGTTACAGTTTATCCTATGGCTGGGAGCCAGTTACGGTTTGTGCTGTGGTTAGGTGCAGTTCTGGTTACAGTTTACCTATGAATCCGTGCTTCAGTCTCATTAGAAGCTGACTGTGTTTGCATGCCCTCAGACTCTGAAAACGTAATGTTCTCTGTTGTACTTCTTACATTTTGACATTTTGTCTGGGTGAGTTACCGATTAGTCTAAAAAAAAAAAAAATGAATAAAAATGTAATGGTTTTAGCATATTAAGCACTTATAAGCAGAGGCTGACATCTAATAGGAACCGATGCACTTGGGACTACATTTGTGTCACTTTTACTGCTCTTTCTGTTTACTAAGTCTAATCTATTCACACGTTTTTTCTGTTTACTCCAGGATTCTGACTCAGGATGGCATTGTTGACACAGTGAAGCGCAAACGATACTACGAGAAGCCCTGCCGAGAACGACAGCGGAAGAACTTTGAGAACTGCAGGCGTATATACCACACGGAGATGGCCAGAAAAATTGCCTTTATCTCCAGGACAAACAGAGAAGATCCCTGGCTCGGTTGCTAGGGAGATGGCTCCTGTTGGAAAAGGAATGATGGACTGGATAAGACTGGGGAAGCAAAGCTGAAAGAAGCAAACAAGACCAACATAATGCTGCTGCCTGAGCCTAAAGGACCAGGCAAACGCAGAGAAAAGTGGTGTTTATGTGGTCACATTGTAAACACAAAAAAATGTGATTTAATTGTCTCCATTGTGAACATTTCTAATAAATTAGACACTTAGGACTTATCACAGTTGATCTTTTATTTGAATAACAAACTGGTGTATTCTGTAAACTCAGCTGTGTGTGTATTGGGGGATGTTTTTGCCCATATATGGCACTGGAAGTAGTTTAACGCGACCTCATTTTCTGAAGGAAACAATGCTGCGATGCTTTGGGTTTTTGTGTGTGTGTGTGAATGAGGTCTTGGCTCAGCAGCATCGTACTGTAAATTAATTCAAGGTCACTAATGCACAGTGTGGCGTTAATGTCCACCGACAATGTCGGCCACCTCCTGCAATGCTGCTTAAGCGAGGCGCGTCGGCCGCGCACGTCTGTCTCGGCTGTTTCCAGCAGGGGGCTTTGATGTGTGCACTTGCTCTCTCCTCACTCACACAGGGAAAGTTAAACATTTTCACCACGCTTACTTGTCTCCGAGGTTACCAGGTCATGTTTATATCCTGTCCTCTGTCTTCAGGCAGTGGGTGGCATTGTAAGGACTGAGGGGAGAGCTCTGACAGATGACCTGTGTATATTTCACACTGTAAAAGGTTGGCTATCCTCACAACATAACTGTTTTTAAAGGATACGCTAATTTGTATGACTAGTGGATCTAACAGTAGTGAAAAGCGTTTTGGTTCTAATCCTCGCAGTAGTTACAAATTTCCCTCAAAAGCAGAAAAACATTTAACTGTTATGGAGGGTTAACTGGAACTACTTTTTGTTCCCATGGAACTGTCCTGTGGATTATCCACAGTTACAGTTTGTTACTGGTGATTTTGTTAAACAATGCTGCGAGTTTTAACTCCATGCTGGCAGAGTAATGTGTAAAACATGGCCAAATTAAAATAGTGAGTGTCTGCATAGCTACAAACATATATACTACTTGGGCCACCCTACAGGAGCTGTTTAGTCATGAAAACCATGCCGTGAAGTTCCCAGCGTGCAGCTTTGGGCTGATGTTATTGTCAGGGGAGATTTGGAGTAAACCGGGGTATTTGGTCACAAGTACACTCCTTTGAAAACGACATTAGTGAATAACTGACGTTATTTGTCCCAGGAATGATAAAAGGAAGAATCATATCTAACCTTGGTTCTTTTGATTGCACTGTAAGATCAGAGTAGGCCTGCTGCTCCACACTGAATGGAGCCATCTGCAAAGGTGGTTATATTGATATGTTACCACCTTTTTTAACCACCTCTGCTGCTTCAAAATTCCCACCAGTCGACAACTGCAGGACTAGGTCAAACATTGGATCAGGGGTTTTCTTTCACAGGATGTTTACAAGATCCGAAGGAATACCTGGACCTGCTCCAAGTTAAACCAGTAGGCCTCGCCACACCTCTCGGGAATCCCTGGGTTAGGCTAAGGGTTTGGGAGGTATCATGTTTGGTTATTACAAAGATTGCCAAACAAACACGCTTGTGTGTATTTGGGCACGTATAACTACGCACAGGCAGCAGTCACTGCTTGGGGAACATTGGTAATAGATAACAAGGCTCAATCAAAATAAGAGAAAAGCTCTTCCAACAACATTTGAGGTGGATCAGATGGGGTACAGGCAGTATTAAGTAATAGGTGATTGGTCCATAGTTCAGTTTTTATTTTAAGGTTTAATCTGTGGCTTTCTTTATGATGTAGACTGTGCATCCAGCAGACTTGGTAAAGTAATATCATCGAGACAGGCGCAAACACTTTTGTTGGCTTGCACCCAACATAAACACACTGCCAGCTTCCTTTCCACTCATAAGTATCGACTGCACAGAGGACATGTCAACACTTAGAATAATATATGTTGCCACCCATGGCTTCTAATTTGAATCAGCAGCCAACAGTGACACTTAAGAAGTCTGATTGTAGTGCGGCTCATGTCAAATACTTTTATAGCCCCATATACATAAGCTTTAAAGAAAACATGCCTGGCCAAAGCTATTAGAACATTCATGCATATGTTGAACATCTGCATCCTTGATTCAATTATAATTCTTCAGTTGTCTGCATAGACTGCTGCTGGCAGTAGGCTCCCCTGTTTACACGGTTTCTTTATCAGTTGATGGCTGGTGCTGTTTGCATGGTTACAGTACCTGTGTCGCAATCAAAAAGTCTGGAACTAAGTGTACCTGTGCAAACTTTAGGAACATGAATCAAGCCAGTGTGACAAGAGCGATACCGACAATGTGCCATAAAAAGAGCATTACTGATCTGCTGATTTGTATAAAGAACCTGCACGCACTGCCTGGGAACTCTGCGCTCTCATTGGTCCAGGTTAAATTACGTAATTTAAGCATTCTGTTCACAATGGCACTGCATCACTTTTGTTTGAACGGTATAATAAAAGATTTCGAACTCTATTCGACTCCCTCCACCACACCCAGAGTTGTGGCAGTGCTGAATCTGGCTTGTGCCATGCTTTCTATGTCACTCTCTTTTTTTCACTAAGCCACACCTCTAATGTTATTCACCTGTTCCCCGTGTTGTACCGAAATCATCATAAACATTTGTTTTTGTCTGTAAAAGCTATTTTAATCAACTAAATCCACCTACACTTGCAGGTTAACAGCCCACTTTTTGCATGTGACACAAGTGATTCACTCCTCAAGCATATATCTTATTACATAATTATGTAAGCCTGCCTTCCAATGGGCTCTCTCTCTCTCTCTCTCTCCCTCTGTGGCTTTAATAGGCCTATGTTGCCACATCTTCTTATCTTGTCCAGCTTGTTGACATGAACTTAATAATAAATAAAATTATTGTTTCTAGAGTTTATTTTAATAAAGGTTATATTAGATTGCACTGTAATCTGAAGCCAAAATTATGTTGTTGCTTCAATAGACCTTTATCGCATGCTTATTTAAATCTAAATCTCCCAATTAGTGGTTTGGTTTGTTGTTGTATGCATGGAAGATGTTCAGGTGTTATCTTGGCAGGTGACCCCAGAAAGCAAGTTATCAACGCAAGACTGACACAAAATCCCTTTAAATAATATTAATCTTCTTCGGAAAGACCCTGCTGTGAACTGTGCATGTCTCTCTCTCTCTATCTCTCTGATTAATGATGTTAATCAAGTGACGCGGGTGTCTTGGTCCATCACATGCAAGCCTATTGGAGAGCTTCAGTTAAGTAACATGACGAATTTGGAAGAATGTGGAGAGAGTATGGAGGGGGGTGGGGGGGTGCAGCCCCCACTGAAAAAGGAGAAGACTCCAGAGTGTAGAGGTGTGTGTGTACGTGTATGTGCGCGCGGGGACCAGCAGCGTGGTCTGTTATTACTCGTTGGCTCTATAATGTGACTCAATCTGCATATCAACATTTTAGATGCCAGTTGCCTCGTGCTGTTCCTCTCGCTCTGCATCCACACCTACCACACGTGCGGCCGTTGAAGGATCGGAGGGATCCAAACGCTTATACCAACCAACCGACGTTGTGCGTCCCGCCGATTGGCCAAGCCTCTCGGCCAAAGGGAAAAGAGCAGCTCTGGGCTCAGCCAATCGCGGCTCCGTACACGCTCCAGCACGTGTAGAGGCCGTTGCGCTCGGTGGGTAGTTCGCGTGCGGGTAGGAGAGCTCCCAATGTAAGTGAAACGCCACGAGCGGAGGTAGCAGAAACGAGGAGGGACTGGCTAAGAGGAGTTACAGCTGTGCTCACAAGTAGAGCCGTTAGTTTTTGTGGAAGTCCCCTCTGTGAGCTTTGATTTATTTTTTTAAACTAGTTCAAATAGCGCTAGCTGTCCTTTTTTAAGAGTCCAACTCTCCTCCGTCCAAAAGGTAAGAAGCTCCGTCCTTTTCCTACACTTTAACGTTTTTTAGGGAAAGGTGGCTCCTCACTTATTATATAAAGCCTGCGTTTTATTTTTACCTCAGATAGACTAAAACAGTAACTTTTTACATTTACACCTTTACATAGCGAATTTCCAGTTAGCTGGTTGACCACGGGTATTATTACAGAATGAAAACGGTATTAATACTGCTTTTATGCTTTTTCTTAAAAACATTTTCAGCTAACAATCACTCAGTTTGTGGGATACGGTTTTCTAGACTATTCCCAGTTATCGCAAACATGTTATAACTGGTATATAAGATGATTATTGCGTTTTACCAGCTTATCGGCTGCAGACGTACACACATGTGTATCCTTACATAAATCAGATTCCCATATGTCTCCAGTTTTAACCATTAAAATTAAATACGTAATATCCAGCCTTAAGAGGCAGTGATTAAAAAAATCTAGTGCAGATATAAACAAACTAAGCTCAAGGCAACTAACATTTGCAGCAACACGTGCTATAACAAACTTTATGTAACAGGCTTTTGCGAAAATTTAAGGGGGCTCGTGCGATTGAACTGCGCGTTTTTTAAAGTGAATAACTGCGATTGCGTCGGTCGGAGGGCCTTCGTGTTCTTCCAGGGTCATAATCTATCAGAGTTGATTGTTATTGGCTCTGTCCTCATCTGGATTTTATTGCGGTTGCTGAAAATTTGCGAAGACGTAACTCACTGTTCTTGCCAACAAGTGCACTTCTAATAGATATTGCATAAAAGTGATGAAATCATCGTGCTGCAGCATTGCAGTCACATGAGGGCTGATAAGTGTTTTATAGTAACATATGGATAGGATTTTCATTTAATGACTGTATTACTCAATCAAATACGCAGCTATTATAACTAAGGCGCCTTGTATTTTTTTTTCATGTTAATGTTACAAGTGATCTTCTATTTTATGTGCATTTAAAACATTTTGATGCCCACCAAACAAATCTAGGTCTTTGGCCAAAGTAAAAACATTAAGACTGTGATAAAATATTGTTTGAATAGCAGTAAAATGCAAAGTTTTCTATTAAGTAACAATAAAAAGACTCTTTGCCTGGCTCTTAACTGTATGCTGAAGGGCAGGTATGTTAAGGCTAACTAAGAGACATAAAATTCAGAGATGTATCCCCAGAAGCATCAAAACTGATCATTTGTTTAAGGTAATATGACCTCCTGTGTAAATGATCCTGGCATCATCACACTGTAAAAACACTGTAAAAATGTGTTATAAATGCTATGGTTTGGACCACAAAAGATTTCACAAAAGAAGTGAGTAGGTTACTGATAACGTATTGTACTGTTTGTACAGCTTCTTATGATACAACTTCTTAGGAAGTTGAGCAGATTTCCCAGAAGAAGATTGCTTTACTCTCCAGTCATCTTTTTTCTTCTATTTATCCCAGCTGTCTCAGGGCCCTAGGTGGGATACACCCCGAACGTGTTATCAGTCTATCTAACTGACTAACACAGATTTGCTCATATTCATTCCTATGGCCGAATCACCAGTTAACTAATATTCATGTTTTTGGAGTGTGGGAGGACGCCAGAGTACCCATAGGGAGAACATGCAAAAAGCCTGGATTCAAACCCTGGATCTTCTTGCTGTGCTACTGATTACTTTACTTTTATTCATAATCTTGATTTAAAAGAATTTCCTCAATACTGTCTCCACAGATGAATTCATTAGGTATTTCCTCCAAATGGCCATCTTATGACTCGCTACCCTCCACTCCAAGCTTTCTGCTCAGTGAGACTGAGCAGACTGAAGATGAGGCTGAAACCTTCTCAGAGGGAGAGGGGGACAGTGGGATTGGAAAGTTGCCTTCCGCCGATGAAGGAATCTCACTTTCTGGAAGCTACATTGGTTTACCTCCTCATACCAATCAGCTGCGTTTGAGATCTCAGTGTGACCGGTCTGAAAAGTGCTCTGACACGACTAAACCTCCAGGCTCTGCCCCTTCTCCTGAAGACCACACATTATCGTCATCAGTGACACCAGGGGACATCGCTTTCGCTCAGAAGGTGAGCACTTCTCTTTTGGAATCTTTAGGTCTTATTTTAGTAAACAGAAGTTTTTAGCTGTGTTAACTTTTAGTAAATAGCAGATTTTAGTTATATTAACAGTCTTTATTATTGCCTTTAACATTACAGTGTGCAGATTTGCACAGGTTTATCCATCCTCTCCTCGAGCTGCTTCATGGTTTAAAGACTGGCCGATTTGACCGAGGTATGTGTCTGACCATTATCCTAAATGATCTTCATTATTTATTGCATCCAATCTGGTAGTTATATCCAGGTACCTGCTTGTGTTTTTGATAGGCTTAACCAGTTTCCAGCAGAGTGTTGCTATGGACAGGTTGCAGAGGATTCTTGGAATCCTACAGAAACCTGAAATGGGGTAAGTCCACCAAAAATGATACCTAATGCTCACCTGGTTGAGCAGCTGATCGAAATGTCAAAGGTTATAGTCCTTACTGCTCCTACCCTCTCTCCACATTATCCTGTTTAATAAAGTTAAAATGCCTTTCACAATAACTTTATTAAAAAGAAAACCTAATATTAATAGCAGTGTTAACAGCATGAACAGTGTTATCATAGTCCCTATTACCCCACAGGGTAATTGTACAATTCTTTTGTTTCTGCAGTGAGAAATATCTTCAGAATCTGCTGCAAATAGAGATGCTGCTCAAAATGTGGTTCCCTCGGGAGGCGTTTACATCCACAAACACACCAAACAAGACCACCACACCCAGAGTCGCAGCACACTGGAGCCAAAATCAGCTCCACATCCCAGTAAAGGTGAGCTTCCTCCTGGATGTCACCATATCTGTGACAGTGTTGTTTAATGTAATAGTATTATTTTAAGGAATGAAGGAGAAAAAAAGCAAATTAATGTACATTTAAAAATGATTAGAAAGCATCTTAGTATTTAGTAGAGTATTCTGTCTCCCCAAGGTCAACCTCATTTGCTTTATTGTCCTTTTTTGGCTCAAAGATCTTAATTCTCTTCCAAGATGGCCTTGATGTGTTGTTATTTTTGGTTCTGCTCTCCCATTGCAGAAGAGAAAACTGAGCTGGCCAGACTCTACCCAGGCTGGCAAAGTCCCAGCCAAGCACGGAAAACACGGGAGCTGCCATGCTGCCTTTTCACTAGACACCATTTCCACGTGTTGGCGCGGATCCCGTACAGAACAGAAAACTCCAGAGGAAGAAGCAGACGAAGCAGCTGGGTACAGCTGTAGCTCTGAACACGAGTTTACACACAGGACTGGCACTTTAAGCAGGCCGTCATATTTATGTAGCAGGAGAGCACATGACAATCGGAAGCACCCTGAGAGTTCTCCGCCCTCCTCCTCATGTGGCAGCCCAGCTACACAAGACAGCTCGGTGTCTTCAAGCAACATCATTACTATAAGTGACTCACCTTAGCTGGCCTTAGCTGACCTCGCTATCACATGGAGGTGCCTCAGCATGCCAGCGAGACTGAAAGCAGAGGGCGGACTCGATTACATAAGAATAAAGTTGGGCGTGGAGCCAGTCTGTGATGCTTATAAGGAACATTAAACCAGGAGGAGGAGAACTGTACAGAGATGGTCATTAACCCCTAACTATCCAGTGTTGGGTTTTTAATGACACCAGAGTTATTTCAAAGTGTTTGTCTGAATGGATTTTTGTATACATTGACCTTTAAGTTAAAAAATGTTGAAAATACTTTTACATGTGTTAAAACAGTTTGTGCTGTGCTTTGTACGTTTTCATATCATCGAACGCAGCTCTAAGCAGTAGCAGTACAGGATTTCATGCCATTGATGAAAAATGTGTTTGTAGCAGGAAAAAAACGAGTCAGTTGAATATAAAATACTTTATGAAGCGACGATTGGTTCCACGGCTGCTTACATTTTTTTTGCATTTGCACTATTTTCCCAGAGAAAATAGGACAAATTAATTAGCGGTTTAGTTTATCGTGAAGAAACTCACAAATTGATTACAAATATACCTCATTATTGAACTCAGATGACTCGAAATTTTATTTAGGAAAGTTTAAAAAGTATTTTTTCCAGCTGTCTGATTGTAGCATACAGTAGAATAAAGGCGTGAAGCCGCTGCCAAAATGTGCCAAATTAAACCATGATGCATTATCATATCACAAGCAGCTTACTCTAGTGTCGCAGCACTTAACGTACGCTCTTTGTTTTTTTATCTGCACTTATTAAGAACAGATGTAGTCCCACACAGAACATGACTGACTAGTAATCACTGAGCCGAGTTAGAAACCAAAGAAGCTCGGTCTTTCAGTTGGTTTTTATTCTGTAAGCTAGCTGTAGATAGGTGGACTTGAAATATTTTATTACACTTGACCTTGGGCATGGGGTCACTTTTTCCTTATTAGGTGATTAAACAGGAATAATATAATATTTAATCCTGTGTGACTTTGAATTGATGCAACTGCACTTTTGGATGACAATGAGGAAATGTTACACACTAAAGGGTTTGTGATGTTATTTATGAAAGCAGTACTTGAAAACCTTAATTCCATTCAGCAGACTTGGTGTGTGTTACGCCTGGGATGAGCGCTTTACAGGTTTTTGTAGGGGAAAGGGTGGGGGAGGAGGACATGTCATTTGATTGCAGTTGAGCAAATCTAGCTTATTATTCATACAAAAAAGCTCCAAATGCATTGTGTCATCATGAGGGCAAAAAACATCCCTTTGTGCCCTGTTTTAAATGGATTTGTAACCCTGGAAGTGCTTTTTTATTGAGTCATTATTAAGAAATATCAGGGGGAATACGATAAACAAAACACTTTCCATTCCATATCTATTAAATACCTTAATATTTTTTTGTACCACCATATTTTATAATCAGGTATCATTCATGTTGAATGACATTTCATCTCTGGTGGGATCTTTTTGTTTTGGGTTGTTTTTTTTTTTAACCAGTGAGCCTTATTTTATCACATAAAGCTTGCCTGACATTAAATCATACGAGAAAAAGTCATACGAAAAGTGTACTGTTTTAACCAACGATGGTAACATCATTTTGCCACATATGCCACTGAAAAGTGAATGTTTCTCAGGCTTTGTCCTTACTTGTGTATGAATTTTCCTATTTAAAGCAGAAATTGGAAGCACAAGGCGGAGAACAATAGTGCAGCGGTGTGTTGTGTTAGTCTGTTAAGATGTAGCATCCTGGAGTACATTTTTTGTTGTGCTGGGTTACACTTTTTATTTGTGATAAAGGAGTTAAGAAAAAAATCAGATTTTACAGTTTGATGTCTTTAATTTTCACTTGTTTTAGAAAATTTATTTCTTATAATGAAATTATTGCTGGTGATTTCTTGATAAGTACAGAATGACACGAATCAGCAAAATCAGCATTTTTCTGCATTGCTGTTTAAGTTTTCGGCTTTCCAGCCACTAAATCTACCCCGTAAATATTTTTATAAGGCTCCTTTATTATTCCATGGGTTAGATAAGTACAGTTTTACTTGTATAGCATCAATTTAGAGCATATTATTGGAAGGTGAACACACTACATCATTGGGGTTAGGGTAACCGGTCATGGCACATTCAGGCTGCATTGAAAAGGAAAAAACAAGGGTGCAGATAGGCCACGAGTAACACAGCAAATAACAAGGTGGGGCCAGTAACTGCAGGTCAGGAACATGCTGCTCCAAAGCAGGAGATCCCACCAGAAAGACACAGGGAAGAGAGAGAGAGGAGAAAACACAAAGCACAAAAGTGGTATTTTCTATGTGTGGGTTATATAAAGGCATTTTTATTCTTGTATTATTCTTGGTTCAGGGTCACCCGATCCAGCAGCAGGCCCAATTGTGAGCTTGGTAAAAAAGGAAAGTTTCTCTTCACAGCAAAGTATTTTTTCTGACCAGAACACCTCATACACTACGAACTTATTTACTCTGCATTCTTTAAATGGTACAAAAACAACATTTGGCTTCACACTGGTATGAACTAAAAATCTGCTGTAGATTTCTCAACATTTTTTTGAGGACACACTGCACAACATCCTGGGAAATTCTAAGTTTTAATGGCTAATTTGGAAATCACCTCATTGGTAATAAGTATTAATTTTTGGCATTTTATACTGACTCAACTAACAAATTGGAAATAAATTGTGTGCTTTTGTTGGCAGGTTGTTTTAAATTGTATGTTATGTGTAGGGCCACATTTTTGCTCCAATAATTCATAGGTCAGTGTTGGCTTAACAAAAGAAAATATTCATCTGTAAATGGTTAGCTGCAAGGACTCAACTGAAAATAAGTGAAAAAACAAGCAACTTTGAAAGACCTTCGGAAAGCCTGAAGAACTATTGCAGAAGACTACCAAAATAACAAGAAAGTCTGGTTCCTTGGAAGCAAAACATGTAGAAATGAGAGGTGACTCAAGACTTTTGCACAGCACTGTATTAGTTTTTAAATATTAAAACAGAATTAAAACTCCTCTGCCACAACAAACAGTAAACAGTGCACTTGCTCTACCAATAACGCGCAGCTGGTGTCGCTAACAAAAAACAAAGAAGGAGAGAAAAGTCACCTTCCGTGACACTGGGTGGCGCCATAACCGAGCAGTGTTTGCGGAAGTGTTCTTCATCACCCCACCAACAACGAGTAAACAGATCCACAGGATGCCGCGAGGCGCTGAGTTTTAGTCCTTCAATGTGAAACGATATGACTGTTTAGCCGCGATAAGGAAGCTCACCGTGAATAATTTGTACACACACAAGGATTGGGACACGGGTTAGCAAACGGAGCAGGCTGAGAGGCTTCTGAGTGCAAAGATGCCTGTGCTGCGTTAAGCTAGCATGCTAAGCTAAGTGCTAGCCTTCACCAGCAAACTCGTCCGGACATGGCAGCGGGAGCCGGAGCCGCTACCAGCGGCTCTCTGGAGTCCACTTTGGACAGAAAGTTACAAAATGTGACCAACACCATGGACTCGATTCAAGGACTGTCAGCGTGGTGCATCGACAACAAGAAGTACCACAGTGTGATTGTGCGACACTGGATCAAGTGCTTGAAGAAATGTAAGTAGCCCTACTGCCTGCACCTTTGAACTCGTTTGAGCTCAACGATCGCAATGGTTGCAATGAGATGTTTGTGCTTATACATATTTTAAATATAGTTTTTATTCCTGCTGTTTGACGAATCATACCTTTATCCGGGCGCGTTAAGGTCTTTGTCCTATTTGCCTTAGGTTGAAATGCCGGGAAACGGTGCAGTTTAAAACTGGCGCTCCTTTGACAGCAGGGACATTCAAGCTGTCATCCATGTGCACACTATAGCCTGCGTTTACCCGCGTAGTCTACAAATAGTTTATAAACTAATGTGCAGAGTAGTGAACCTGTCAAATTTACAGTTCTGACAGTGCTACAAGAGGTCAGCCTGTGCCAGCTTTACAGGCTACAACGGGAAATTCAAGATTTAACAGCCTACCAGATCACTACATGTTATGAGACTGGAAAGACAGTTTTGTTACCAAACTGTATGACTGAGCTATTTGTAGTCAGCTCATGGGGAACAGTGACGTTTTGGATGGGGCGGGACACCAATGTCCATCCATAATATATAGACCAGCGATGTCATACTCTTTTTTTACATCGAGAGCCAAATACGGCTTAGTTTGATTGTAATTGGGACAGATAAATGAAACCCTCCTTTCTGTCAATGTAAACAAATTTAAATAAACATTAAATAATGAGATATCTTAATATATTAAAAAGTGCAATTTCAACAGTTCATCTAATTTGGTCTACACGTTAAGAAATGTTGCTCTAGTAAACCTGCCAGTATGATTCTTTGTGCTTACATTGTAAGAAATTAATATGTAAAATTACAGCAAAAGTTCTGGTAACTCATTGCCCAGACTGTCCGATAATTACAAAACAGGAAGTTTTTCTTAATTCGCAGTAAACTTTCTGTTTCTCTTTCTTTTTCTTACCTTGGACCGGGTGTATAAACAAACAAACAGAATTTTCTTTTGTTGATAGTGAAAAAAACAGGAATTTCTGTGTCATTTAATTTTTTGTCCTTTACATATTACACTGTTGTAGTATGAATGGCCGAGGAGAAGGTCTGCCGAGGAGAAGGTCTGTCTCAGTAGGAAATGCTGTGGGTCGTATTGGAGTCCTTGGCAGGTCAAATTTGTCCCCCGGTGCCTTTTGCTTGAAAACCCTGATGTAGACAAAATATATTCTGTTACCGTAAACCTGCGCTGGGCAGTTAATTTATCCATGGGGCCACAATTGGGGTCTTTTTGATTTTTTGGGGTCTAAAAATCTACTTTCACCAGAAGCAGTTTATAAAGAAATAAAAAGTAACAATAAGCAGAATGAGTTCAGTGTACAGGTGCGGCCTTCCACAGCAGTTTTAGTTCCTCGTGTGGCCCGCTGGAGTAAACTAATGTTACCGAGTACACAAACTCACTTTAAGTATTGTAGTTGTCACCGACACTTCGATTATTTACATGTTTGTTTGGAAATTTGTCAAACTGCACCAGGTTCTCGGTGGGGGGCTCTATTATTTATTTTATAATAAATCAGTCAGTACTTTGTGTTATTGCCAAGGTATTAGGAGATGCTTTTGCAGCCTTGATCACACATTTAGCTTTCTAGTAACTGTAATTAAGACACAGCTCCCACCAACCAGTCTTACACTAAGAAGACAAATCTTATATCTTAAATCTTAATCCTTGCTAGGACCAATCCTTTTGCCTTATACATGTTTTCACTTGGGTAGTGTCATCGCTATGTATCAAATGTTCCCCTGTACAATCCATGCTTCAGGCAGCATCTGCTTAAGTGGAGCTCCTAACGGTTGAATCTACATTTTCAAGCCTTCACTGTGAGATTATATCAACAAAAGTACAATGTGCGTATTTTATTTGTGTAATTGGATTATGTTTGTGATTTAGATTCAGCTCACATTTTATGAATAATCAGTGCAGAAGTAGTTTAAACAGGTTCACAAACTTTTTCTTACAGACGTGAGAATAGTGGTCTGTTTCTGATTCTCTGCAGAGCAGGTGAATAAATCTCATGCACAGCCCTTGAATAGTTTTCGAGTAATTTATTTTGACTTGCAGCTTAAGGATCATTCATATTGTTGGAATTGTCCAGTAATTTAAGACAAAGGCCATTGCTATTGAGACCTTTATACCTACTGTTCATTAATTTGTACTCTAGTGAGGTTTTAGCATTTGCTTTCAATTTAAAGTTCATCACTGTCTTTTGCTGATGAAGACAGCAAGGTACGTTCAGCGTGGAGCCTTATTAACAGCAGAGTTGTGGTTCTCTCTCTGTGATTGCAGTATAGTGTTATCCTCTTTTAGACATTGTCTCCATTTTGTCATTAAAGATATGACTGTTTCATTATATCTGACACCTGAGTTTTCCATTTATGCAGTTTAAAGCCTGTTAGGGATTTTTCAGAGGCTTAGTGGTGTACCGTGAAGACAGATGTTTTAAACATCTGAATAACACTTAATAAATACATTTAAAAACATAGCATTTAAATGTATTAACTGGAAGCTACCAAAGCTTTCTGGATGAACTTGAGAACGAAAATAAGAAAGAAATTGTTAAATGTGCGGATTAATATATCAGATTTGTTACAGTAATTTGATTATTAATTTAATAGAAAGTATATCAAGCTTTTTGGCATTGCTGGATCTCCTTTTTCTGTTTTGTACTGTTGTAAACTAAATCTAACCTTGTGTTCATCAGATAAAACAAGTGGACATTTTTGTCTCTATAGTGTCATATCTGGGGGGGGGGGGTTGTGTTTTGTTTTTTCTTTTTTTTACTATTTTGGAAAAGTCCTGAACCAGTGATGCCAAACTCATTTTACATTGACCATCACATACAGCCCGCTTTGTTCTTAGGTGGGTTGGTGGAGTGAAACTTTAACTACACGTTTATTCCCTGAGATATCTTAATATTAGATAAATAATGCAATTTCAACAGCATATCGTTTTTTTCCTACATGATAAATGTAGGAAAACACAAGCACCAGAAAACATTCTGGTAGCTCACTTTCCAGACTCTCCTGTGTTTATAAAACAAAGTGTTTGTTAATTGATGAAGATTTTGTTTCCTTTTTAATAGAAATGTCAATATTAGACAGTGAGACAGGAACTTCTGTTTCTGTCATTTAACAGACAGTGTCTTTCTATTGCGGGGGCTTCCTCTGGTTTTGTATATATTCCTATTGCTTGTTATGCATTTCTGTTGTCTTACTATTTATATTTTAGTCCTGCACAGTTGGTATGGAGCACCCATGTACACGTGCAATGACAATAAAAGACTAAACTAATTGTTTATCTATTACTTAACTACTTTGGCGTGGTATTAATGGCTGCGGGACATCTTTATCAGCAGAAAAAGCTGTCAAACATGTGAAAATATAGTTAAAAGGTCAAAAACATATGCCCTTTGTTGTATTTTCCAAAGCTGGGGGTCAGATTAGGTCAGATTGGCACCTTTGTCAGGCTGATTCAGGCCCCCGAGCCTTATGTTTGCCACCTCTGTCCTAAACAAAACAACAGGGGTGCCCATATGGAAAAGAAATAGAAAAAACTTATAAAAGACTTGCATAAGATGTGGCCTACTTCATATAGTAAATCATATAAGGCTTATATGATTTACTCATGAAAGTGGCCACTTTCTCATTACTTTCATATATTGTTTTAGTAAGTATCCAAAACATACAAGTTTCATTTATATAATTTTTCAAGGGATCTTATATGTGTTTTCACTCTTGTATGCTTTTCATGCAAATTTCACACAAGACAGATACAAACTTTATAAGATTTATATATATCTTTTCCATATGGGTGGGGTCGAACTTACTTAATACTACTACTGCACTAAGGTATTTTTAATATACCTACATCTTACTAACTGCACCCTAATTGTAAGTAGTATTAAGTCAGTGCACCAGATTGGCTGGAGATAAGCTGGAAAACATTAACATTGTCCAACAGAAATGTCTTGATTTAAAAAAAAAATAAAAAAATAAGATCCCAGATCTTATGTTTAAACAAAAATAGTAAAACCACAGATCACTGTACAGAGTTAGGGACAGTAATTAAAAACCAGTTCCAGTGAAGAATCCATACCAAAATTTCCGGTTTGTCAAAGTTGTATCAGTTCCTCTTCCTGATAAGAGGAATATTTTTTCTTTCACTTTGCAGAGCAATGGTGTCAAGCATGGCAGTGGAGCTTCTGCACACCCACTTTCAAGCATTTCTCAGGCTCAAAGACAATGAAGTCTTTCTTACACATAAGCTGAGGAAAAAAACGTGTAAAATCAGATTGTAGATGCCCTTCATCTCTTAGAGCACATAAAAGACGTGTTCTCACTAATGAAATGCTGTATTCGGTTTAGGCTGCCCAAGAACAGGAGGGATCTTAAACGTAAAAACGTTTTAAAACAGTCGTGTTGATGTTGAAAAACACACAAACATGGATCAGGTCAGTAAAAGAATCAATAATGAATCTGACCTATAAGCAGAATCGATAATGGCTTTGGAATCAATGAAGTTGTATCAATATCCATCACCAGATGGGGTTCACTGACCTTTTGGTGACGTCTTTTGCAGTAATTTCTTCAGCTTCTGCTGGCTTTGTGTGTGTGTGTGTTGTCTAGGGCAAAGTCTTCATTGCGTTTTCTTCCTTCTTCTTCTTTTTTTTATTTTTCCTGTTTTTCTCTGTTGTGTTCTGATTAGTCTCTAATTTTTTTAATTCTTGGGTGTTAAGATTCCCCCCTTTTCCTTTTTTTTCGTTTTCTTGGGTTCTTTTTTTCATACAATGCAATTGTGTGGTGGTGTGTAGTGGTTTTTTTTTATTCACAGCTCGTTCTTCTTTTTCGATTACATTTTTTCCAAAGTCAACACAGTAATTTACACTGTGTGTGTGTGTGTGTGTGACACGTGTGTGTGTGTGTGTGTGTGTGTGTGTGTTCCGGTGTCGTGTGTGTGTGTGTGTGTGTGTGTGTGTGTGTCGTGTGTGTGTGTGTGTGTGTAGTGTGTGGTGTGTGTGTGTGTGTGTGTGATGTGTGTGTGTGTGTGTGTGTGTGTGTGTACACGTGTGTGTGTGTGTGAGAGAGACAGAAAGAGAATAAAAATGTAAAATACACTACTGTTTGGAAAGCTTGATTCAACTGGAGACGTTCTTCATTGGGTGAGGTGGTGGTGGTTAGCAGTGCTGCCCGTCAGCAAGAGGTCCTGCGTTCAAATCCATCATCTTGTTACGTCTTTCTGTTTAGAGTTTGCATGCTCTTCTGTTGTCTGCGTGGGTCCTCTCTGGATACTCTGACCTCCTCCTAAAAAAACATGCAGTTAGTGGGTTTTGTGAGTTGTAGTGAGGTGTGTTTGAATAGTTCTGTCTCTGTGTGTTAGGCCTGCAGCGAGGTGGACTCGTGTCCAGGATGTATCCCGCCTCTTGACCTATGGCAGCTAGGATAGGCTCCTTTTGATAATGCCTGCACTGCTGTGCATGTGTTGCACATGCGTCGAACGGGCCGCTTTGTAATTTAATATACAAGAGGCTGACTAGTCAGTCACTAGTCTAAAAATTTAGAAAATCAGCTGATTCCAGATCACTGTATCTCTAGTTAAAACATAGACTGTATGTAAAAGATGACTAGCCACTGTGATGTCACCGATTTTGAAGCCTCGAGCTGATTGTTTCCACCTTTTAATGAAGGTATTCATAGATGGCTGTCTTTGGCTCTCGCTTGCCTGTTTCGCTGTTAATCTTGGTCGCAGTGATTTTACAGTTACCTGAAACGGTGTTTGCCTTTGGAGAATTTAGAGTGATCTCTGAGCATATTACAATTTTGTTCTTCTAACGTGATCACACTCGCGGATCTCAGTGCTGCAGGAGAAATTTCAAAGTAAACTGTTTTGTAGTGTTTGGGGTTTGTGTTTAGGGTTCAAACCCTCAGCGTAATAAGGAAAACAACAGCCTTTTGCTTTTCTACTCGTGATGAGTAAGAAGCGTGGCTTTCATCTGTCATCTAGACAATTAGAGAATTAATAGACACTTGATTATTTAAAGCAAAATTCTTTACTTACAGAGAATTGAAATTAGTTGCATTGCAGACTTATTTTGCATCTGGATGTTGGTTATTTTATCAAGCACTGATTAAACTATTGCCCAGGAGATATTATGAGCTGATATCATATCATAAATATAAAAAAACTGCAAATAAAAATGACACATGGTGTGTATAAACCATAAAACAGGCATTTTTAAAACTCCTTGTTTAGGTCATAAAATGTGAACAAAGATTGTGTAAATGATTTCACGTCATGTTTAACAGTTAGCTGTTGATTAAATATTCTTGGTAGCTGTTGACTGCATGCTATCTTTTCTGTGTTGTTTATGAATCTGATTTATCACTTCAGACTTAATCACACATGTCTATAATGGATTTTTGTCATTTATTTAGTTTAACTGGGCATTAAGTGAAAATGTTGACCTTTTTATAAAGTACAAAAATTATAAATTGATAATAAATTAAGCAGTATGTTGGACCACTACTGATTTTGACCTATATTTAATAAAATAGGTGAAAGAGAGCTGAGCTGCTTCTCCGGCTCAACAGGTTTCAAGTCAGATTTTTTCATATGCACATTTAAAAATGGGACACATGCTGTGCAGCAACAAAAAACAGTAAAAACGATGAAAGATTTAAGGGAATGAACAGCCGCAGATAAAAGCACCATAATTAGAAGCAGTCTGGTTCAAACAAGCTAACATCAGCGCCTCTGTTTCCTCCAACAGCTGACGCCTCACATAGGCTCAACCTGCTATACCTCGCCAATGACGTCATCCAGAACTGTAAAAGGAAAAATGCCATCGTTTACCGAACGGCATTCGCCGAGGTGCTTCTAGACGCCTTCCAGCTGGTTAAGTAAGTGCTTTGTAGTAAGTGCTCCACTGGTGCAATGTTTCTTTCTGCTGCTCTCTACCTTTCAGTGTTTCTTGTCCATCATTCCTCTCATTTGTTTCATTTGGACTCACATAAATCCAGCAGCCATCATTATAGTTTTTATCATCTCCCCTCTCTGTAGCTGTGAAGGTGACTCCAAGGTGATAAAATCAGCAGAGAGGATACTGTCCATCTGGGAGGAGAGAGGTGTGTATTCGGGGACTCTCATTGCCGACCTTAAGAACGCCCTGATCAAAGAGGAGTCCCCTTCTGTCACTCCTGTGGAGCAAAAAAGTAAGTTTGCTTATTATTTTTATAATTTTTAATTTTATTAGACGCGCCATCTTAACATGAAACTTGTCGTTACCAGTCGTGGCACCTTGTACAGTTAATTGTATTTTAATTGCAGTTACAGTTTTGGCTGTCAGTGATTATGAAAACACAATTTATTTAATTTTTAATTTAATTGGCTTTAAGACAAGTTTCTTATTTATTAGGTTTAATACGTCCAGAGTTTAGGAATAATTCCGTTAAATAATGTTGCATTTCATTCTGTTGTGTAGATTTCTGGGTGTTTGTAGTTAATTTTGCTGTTTGAGTTTATGGGCTTTTTATTTATTTTAAAGCTCCAGCCGAGTCTAAAGCTGATCTACGATCCAAGGTCGTTGCTGAATTTGTGGTAAGTGTGATGTTAGAGTTTAAAGCTCCTCACTAAACTCCAGCTGTGCCGTTTTACAAGCACGGTTGTTATCGTCTTGTCTTTGACTCAAACACTGTGATCAGACTTTGTTGCGCTTATGATATGACTGACTGCTCCCTCTGCTTTAGCCGCAGGCACTCATAGACCAGCTGGCCAAGTACAAGAGATCTGTGGAGGAGGTCGACCTCAGAGAGAAACAGCTGGCAGCTATGAGGGTTGACATCTTCAGTTCTGATGCCCTCAAGAAACTCAAAGGTATTTTATTCTTTTTGCTGCTATACAGTCTAACCTGGAGCAATAGGAAGGATGGGTTATGACTTTGACGATTTCCTCACATTACTGCTTGGTTCTTGCAGATAAGGCAGGAGGAAAGAAGTTCTCCAAGGACTTTGAGGAAGGAAGCGCACAGCTACAGGAGTTCGTGAAGTTCTTTGATAAACAAAACAAAATCCTACCTCAACTCATGGAGGCACTCACCAACGCAGATATCTTCTATGAGATGCAGTACAAGGAAGTGAAGATTGTAGCTAACGTAAGTGAAAGATGTTTATTTTGAATTTGTATTTTTTTTGTTGTTGTTGTTGTTCTAAAGCATGAAGAAATTCAGTTACCTGTAGGTTTATTACCCAGCTTGTGTTGGGCATTTTGGTACATTATGTTTTAGACTCGTATGTTGCTAGCTGTAGATAAACCTTATGCCTCTCTATCTTGCTGTTTGAATTTGCGTGAAGTCTGTATTAAAACTGGCTAATAGACTTAACTTTTACATTTTCATGTATTTAAACTCCGTTGCTTCTCCTCTCAAGGCCTACCAAACATTTGCTAACCGGGTGTCCCACCTCAAGCGTAAGCTGGACACCTTGAAGTCCACTTTGCCCGACCTGGACGAGTCACCCATCCCCTCTCCCTCGGCAGACGCTCCATCTCCAACAGGCTCAGAGTCTCCTTTCCACGGTCTGGAAATGACCCACCCCGATCCAGACCTCGATGGTTCTGCAATGGACGATGATGCAGAGCCCCCAGCCCCGAGCCCTCTGTCCTCCCCTGGGGGGTCTCCCAGAGACACAGAGGCTCTCGGTGAGAATGACAATCGCGAGGTGGAGGACATGGAGCTGTCTGAGGACGAAATGGAGAGTGGGGGCATCATAGGTAAGGAGGGGGTAATGTTTTGGGATTTCAAGCCTCTGCAATGCTTTTTAAGTGCTGTGTGGTTTTTATATTGGTCTTCAGTACTTTACTAAAAAGAATGAAATGACAAACACAGGAGAGATGGGCAAGCACCGTAATGACACAAAAGTTCTCAAGCATTGCATGATAATCATTGTTTCAACTTTTGCAGTAGCATCTTTTGAACCTGCTGTCGGTAGTAGTTAATACAGATGTTGCATGGTGTCATCTAACTAGTTCAAATGTTCCTAGTTTTAATTTTAAAAGCAGTCTTTTTACATATTTCGTTTGTTTTGAGATAAGCTGGCTTGTTAAAGTTTTTCCTGGAGGAAAAAAAGGGCCTTTTGGATTTGACTGCGTTCGAAATAAGAAAGGTGATGAGTCTGTGTTACCTTATTTGACAGATGTTTGACAGTTTTCTTCTCATTTCTGACCATTTAATGAAGACAAAATGTCTGTTATACACAATCTGATGAGACTCCATGGAAGAAACAGCATCTGCGCAGTAGCCGATGTGCACATTCTTAAATTGAGCTGCATGTTAAAATAGGAATATTCTTCCTCAATGTAGTTTGAGTTCTAGCGTGTGCCCAGCCCACCGTCATCACATATCACAGAGTATGCATTTACTTAGATGGATGCATTGTGATCACAGGTGAAACCATCGCCTGCTGTGGACATCTGGTAAAGCTCTGCGTCAAAGATAAATCAGGCTTTACAAATCACACCTGTTATTTAGAGGAATTCATTAATCCTGAAGCATCCAAGCGGTTTTAGTGGCTACGCTGACCAAATGGAGTCATTTCAAAACTGGAGCCAGATGTGGCAGAGTTGAAGTTTTCGTTGGGAGTGACTAGGGTTAGAAATTGGTACGTCAGAGAGAGACAGCTCAGGTCGAGGAAATTGGAGACAAAGTTAGAGAAGCAAGGCTAAGGATGCTGAATATGGAATAGCACAGAGGAGGTTCATGGATGTAGTGAATGAGGACATGGAGAAAGTCGGGAGGACAGTATAAGCTGGTAGGGATAGGATGGTATAGAAGTAAATAATTAGCTTTGGTTACCGCTAAAGAGAAAATGTTCTAATGTAATTATCCATCTTGAGCTAACTTTGAGCATCAGGTCTCTGCAAAAGCAAATCTCAGTACCCTACATCTCTAGGAAACATTTTTAATATTAAAACACTTGTGAATATACAGCTAGAGTCATAAATATATTTTCTGTTCTCTTTTTTGCACCACATTCCTTCCTGCAACCATTATTTGAGTAACTTTTGAGAAATTTGCCCTGGAAATCAGGTGACAGCGACAAAATTAGTCACAAAAACCAAATGTAGAGGAACTGCACTTAGCTGCACCATTACATTGGCCCTCACTCACTGTTATCGCTGCCATATTTTCTTTCCTCAGTTGAAGAGCGGACAGAACCCGTTCTCCACTCAGAGGTGCCCACACCGATGCCTGCAAAAAGCGTGCCATTAGTAGCGACAGAGCAGCCCACCGTCGCACAGATCGCACCTCCCATTGCCGCTCCAGCGGCCGCTCTGGAAAGTGTGGACATGAATAAAATTGGCTCCATCCTCAACAGCTTAAGCTCAGTCGTGAAGAACACAGGTGAGTAGCGAGGGCCTTTTTGTGACATGCACATAGATGATTTCTTTCAATTCTTTCAAAATAAAATAAAATCTTCCACGTGCCGTCATTAAGCATGTCTCGACTTCTGCTATGGAAAAACCAACTGGGTTTGCAATGTGTTTGGAGCGTTAATATCTTTGCAGTGTCATTAATTTTTAATGTAGAGATAAACAAAAAGATCCTGAGAGCATATGTGAGTATGTACTTAAGCTGCATATGTTTTCAGTGCCTTTAGATTGCATAGATTTAACAGAGTATTTAAGTTAATCCGGTAGGTTTGTCAAATGTCAAAGTTAGTTTGTTTTAAATATACCTCATAATGCATAAATCTATGAATGAACATTTGGCCTTCACAGATCTGTTAACTGTCTAATAAAAAGTTAGTATATGGTGGGTTACTCTGTGAGTGAGTGTAGCTTTGTTTTTTGCAGCGCCGTTAGTGGAGACTCCTCCTGCAGCTGCCCCCGCTGTCTCCTCAGTTAAGAGCACGCCTGCTCTTCCTGTGGCAGCACAGGACCCCAGTTCACTGGTTAGTATCCTCTCCAAGGTAGAAGTGAGTCCTGCAGACCTCCTCAGTGCTCTGTCCAAAGTCCAGGGTCAAAGCAGCCTTGAAGGTGAGAGTCAACCTTTACTTAAAGTATTCAAAGAAATGTTGATTTATAGCAGCACCCTTGCTTATCTTTCTTCTATCTTCCTTGTGCCCCTTAGGCATCACCTCTGTTGTGGGCAGCTCAGCTGACTCCTCCAGTACAGGCAAGATTACTGCCTCTCCTTCATCCACAGTTTCATCAGCGGGACCCTCTCAGAGCTTGCCTCACTCCTTTGGCACATCTGTGCTTCCCCTATCCAAATCTACTGCAAGGCAGAGCTCAAGCACCCAAGCATCCCCCCAGAATTCCAACCCTGCCTCTGCCCTGGTTCAGGCTCTTCATAGAGACATGGATTTGACAACAGATCCTGAACCACCCTCTACAAGTTTAGAGTCTAAAATACACAGCTTCTTGAAGGGAAACCCTGCTTTTAGTTCATTTGACTTGGTTTTTTCAACAAACCCAGCTCTCGGAAGCAATAATCATAGTCCGGTTACTTGCACAGACACCCAGGATGGGACACCTGTGCGGGACGAGGGGGGAGGCACGCCTACTCAAGATGAGATTATGGACAAGCCAATGGTGGTTCCATTTGCTCCCAAGTTAAGTCAGTCATCTGTTGAATCTGCAATAATGGCTCCTGTTGCATATCAGAATAGCACACAGCCGAACCCCAACAATCCTCAACAGCCTGCTCACCTGCAGCCAGGTGTCGCTCAGAATGGGCAGATCTACCAGGCGTACCGGTTTGGCAAACAGGAGATCTCTGAACATGGGATTACTGCCCCGGTTGGACATTACCAGCAGATTTCTGCACAGACAGGAGGGCCAGTGCCTGGAGAAAGAGCCCCAGGCAGTGCCGGTAACACACAGACTGCTGACAGCTTTCATGGGCCTAGTGAAAGGAGTTGGTACGGTGACACTTACCCAGAGGGGAGCTCTCAGCAGCCCAGCGGCTATAATATGCCTGGAGGGGCTCAAGAAAACAAGACATCCGGACTTTATCCATACCAAGCTGAGCAAACTCGTGAACCTCAAGAGCTGCTCTCCCAGCAGGGGGGCACCCCATTGCATGGTTTCTTTAAAAGCAATCTTCCTCCTGTCCCAAGGTTACCTCCCCCTCCTCGCGGTTTTGAGGTTTCCGTTTCATCGGCCAGCAATTCGATCATTCCTCCGGAGCAGCAGCCGATTCCCGGCACAGACTCTGGGGACGTGCTCGGGGCCAGAACTGAGAGTGTCATCAGTGGGATGGTGGTCCATGATCATCAACACAAATCCCTGTATCATCCTGATGAACATCTGTATGACACTGACCAGCATCGGCCACATCACCCTGAGGATTTACATCACCAGTCAGATGACCGGCATTACCAGGGGGACCTCGAGCGGCACCACGATGAACTCCTCCAGCACGAGCCCCCTTATTTCCAAGACAATCCTTATCACGGCCCAGATGACCCGTATTACAGACCAGGCAGCCCTCCACACCACTATCCCCGAGTTCGAGGCCGCCTCACTCCTCCACTCTCAAACTCAGAGGAGCCTTACTACGCCCACGACTACCCACATCACAGCCCCCCTGCGCCGCACTACCCTCCTAGGAGACCACCGCCTCATCACGAAATCTGTCATCCCGGTCTACGACCTCCGCATCGACCTCCTCACCCTGCACATCACCCACACCCCAGAGGACCTCCTCACCCCCCATTTCCTCGATTTCAAGGTCCTGACCTGAGGTTTAGAGGCAAACGTCCAGGTCTAAGACCAGGAGGCCCAATGTTCCCCCCTAAGAGACCCTTTATGCCCCCACGGTACTGACTGAGCATGTAGCCCTGAGACTGCTCACAGTCAAAAGTCTTGGAGGTCATAAAAGCCTCTTAAAAACTGAAATGGAGACTGCAGGTGGATGAATGTGCAGTTGGGCTGGGGTGGGCACGATGTGGCAAAGCTGAGCTGAAGAAGAATTAATTCAGCAGCTTCCAGAAGAAAAAACTTTAAATGCAGAAGGAAAAAAGGGTGTGTGGAAGACTGAGGAGAGCCAACACCAAGAGACATAAAGAACACGGTGCCTCTGAGAGGGTTGCTGAGCTGAAGAGCGAAGACAGAAGATTAAAGAAGATAAGAGGTGGATATATATACATATATATATATATAAAATTCACTTTTTGTATCATTTCCTCCAATATGAAGCACTACGTTAAATGTAAGCGTGTCAGAGTGCGTGCATGGTACGTGTGTGTGCATGCAGTCCAGTCTAAACCAACTAGACACAAATAGTTCCACACCTTTTTTGAAAGACAGTTATTTTTGCTAAGACGGTGAGAAAAGAGTGTAGTTGGTGCAGTGTTTCTGCTCTTATTTAGTTTTTCAGTGAGCAGTTTTGACTGCTTCAGTCCCGTATCAGCAGGATCCCATTAGCGTTTGAAAAATCGTTAATTTCAACTTGTCTTTGGGTATGACAAACAGAGTGTATGCTATGGAATTTGTTTCTTCTACAGTGCACATTAGCATATTTGGCGGAATTATTTCTCATTGTTCCAGCTCCAAATGTTCTGTGTTTTGTCTTTTTGTTTTTTGTGAAGCATTGCTTTCCCCACCTATGCGCAAAATCCCTTCGGCAATAATTTTTACGTCCCGTTTAGGAAGGCGACACAAGTCTAGTGAAAGGGGGGGGGGGGGATTTTTTTTCCAGCCTCCAACACCGACACAGAAGAAGTGCATTTCTGGAAGGAGGATGAAGACAGTCGGCTTCACTTTCGTTTATTTGTACTGACCAATAAAAATCTGAGTTTGAAAAAAGTGTCGTTTATTTATTTATTCTTTTTTTTTTTTTTTATCATCTCTGATCCCTGACCTGTTGCATCACTGCCTTTACTTCTGCATCACATTTAAAAGCACCTAAGCCAGGACCTCTAATTATTCACACAGAAATTATAACGCCACTGGCCCCATTACTCATGAACACAACTGCAGGTAACACTAAAGAGTGTTGTGGGGTTTCTTTTTTTTCTTTTTTCTTTTTTAAGCTATGGTTCATAATTTAAGGATTAAATCTATAATACTGTTTGGGAAATACGTTTAAAATACGTTGCTGCATCAGACCAGATAAAAGTGATATTAGAAGAAAAAGCTCAGTTTACTACATTTATAGGGATAGACATTTCTAAAGAAAAACATGATAAGTCAGATTTTTGCTCTGAGTTACTTTTTTATTACATAAGTTTTTTGGTATTTAAGATAAATACGGTTAAAGAAGTAGTGTCCACACTGATTGTGTGTACCTCTGTGTGCATAGGTTACTTAGTTTAATCGAATCACATTTGCTTTGCTTTGTTGGGCAGATGCCCGAAAGGTTGCCTAGTAACAAGAATAACTTTGCAAAAGATTCGTTTGGCTGAGATCCAAAATAAAGTAGCGGCGGTTTTACGCGTAACTTGGATCCTTAAAGCAGTTAAAGGTCTGGTAGGTGTCTCCATGTGAGGCTGCCGTGCAGGGAGCATTAATGCAGTCAGTTTGGCTTAATTTGAAACGAACACGTTTTCAGTAAGGGTCTCTTGACTCCGCAAATATTCTCTTTAATTGAAGAGGTCCAGATCGATTTGGTGCCAAACACACACACACAGCCTCAGCGTGAGAATCACTCTAAAAGACAAAAGTGGTGATCAGTTGGATTGATTAGGCAGTTATAATCAAGTACCGAAAGACCCACTTCCCTTAATTCATTTGCAGTTTCTTAGTGCGGTCATTAAATTATTGCATTAAATCAAGTATGAGAAGTTAAAAAAGACATTATTCTTGGGACTGTTATTTCTAAGTGCGTAAGCGGCAAATAATACAGCATAATTTTTTCCTTTTAAAAGTGTCGATGTGAATGGGCTCCTAACTCTGATAAATCCGTGCAGTTAAACCTGCCCTTAATTTAGGTCTACTTTAATTAGCACGGAGGTCGTTTAGGGAAATGAGTTTCGATTTTAGCAATAAATCGTTCCCTTCGCGCACACAAACACGAAAACAAAAAAAGCGGTGTTAGATGAAAACAATTGGAGGGAACAAATAGAAAACGAGTGCTCCCATTCGACATCTTTATTGGTCAGAAGTTAGTTTTTAATCTGCGGAGTTTACTTGGAAATTAAACATAGTCACAGGTGAGCCGGCCGTCGCCAGATGTCAGCACATCTTCCCAGAGTCACTTTGTTAGAGAGGGGAGGGGTAGCCTATAGCATGAAAAATTCAATAAATAACTAAATTATTCAGCATTTATCAGCCTTCATATCGGGGACGTGCGTAAATGTGTCAGGTCACCTTAGTGTACGCATTTTTCTTTGTGTTTACATAAAGGAAGAAGTGAGTGAACGTTACCTACACACACGCACCTCCTTCCCCCTGAATTTTTTTGAACTCATTCCCCGTTTCTCATCCCCTCCCCTCCTCGCTCCTGTTTTCATCCTCAGGGATCCAGAGCCACACTTTGATGTGTCTGATGTGATGGAAACCTTTCCCCCACATGTTAACTGATGAAGATGGTGGCGGCTCCTCTCTTTGAATCCTGCACCGCTCGCAGTGATGGCTCTTCACGGCCTGTTATGAACGCTGTGCACCGGTAAGGCTTTCAGTTTAATAGCTACATCAGAAACTAAGTGCCACCAGCAGGAAATCAAAACAATCAATACAGAGTGGGGGGAAAATAAAATGTTGAAAATGGTTCTATTTGTTCTCCGACCCTGTGTGTGTGTGTGTGTGTGAGTGAGGAAACACAGGAAACGAGGACCGCTGGACATAGAGGACCATGTGAGTACAACCAGGATTATTAATAACCTTATGAATAATTACAGCTATTTTATTGCCTTCTCTTTACATTGCTTTAAACAAATCTGTGCTTTTCATGCTTCCAACCTGTACAGATACCCATTAAATGCATGTTTTTGTGGAATAAATGATCATTGTGCAAATGAAAACAAAACACAGCGTCGTTGTCTGATCATTTCCTTACAGTATTTAACAAACGAGCATCTCCAAGCTCAGTTTAAGAAAGTTGCCCTTCAATTTAAAAATGTCTCAATTTTAACCAGACTTTGAAATTTTGTTGTAAGAGACAAAATTCAAAGAGAGTGTCTCTTATGACCTTTAATGAACAGTGAGTTTAAGACCCATTTCTGGAGCATTTAAATCTTCCGGGAAACATTTGTGTAATTAAGTTACAGTCATTGTGGGAGTCCATTACACCTGCACTAAAGGACAATTTTGATTGGATCAATTAGTATTTCCATTTCAGATTGCTTTCACTTTCCAGCTGACCCCTCCTTTGTATTTGTTGGTGAAACCTTTGTACCATAGCATTCATATAACAGCTCTGCTTTTCTAATAAAATGTACAAAAGACATAAACATCTTTATTTCTGTTACATTTTTTTCAAAAATCTCTTTATAGTCAAACATTTTTATCTTCTTAAAACAGTGTTTTTTAATGGGTTTTGTTTATTTAATCCAGTAACATCTAATTCAGAACATCAGTTTTGGCAACCGCCCTCATCACTGACCCTGTGCTATAAGAATATTTGGGTTTTTGGCTTTTGAAAATGGTTATATTTACTTAATACAGTTAAGTATATAATTTCCTTAAAAAACAGGGTGGGGTTCTTGCACCTTAACCCTGTGGCACCTCAGACAGCAGAGGGTTAAATGATAGTCATGTATTTCAAACTAACCTTTATTTACCTAGTATTTATACTTAGTTATAAATATTCGGTACACCTTGCTAGTACTCGGTTAGACTCACTTTTCCCTTAAGAACTATCTTAATTCTTTATGGCAAGGTGCTGGAAACATTCCTCAGAAATAGCTGACATGTTGGCACCCAGTGTGGTTCAGTGTGCTGTGTGTTCAGAGATGCTGTTCTGCACACCTTGGGTGTGATGTGTGGTTATTTGAGTTACTGTTGCCTTCTTATCGACCGGAAGCAGTCTGACCATTCTTCTCTGATCTCAAAAGCAGATCATCTTGACCGTGTCTACATGGTCTATTTGCGTTAAGGAGAGGTTAAGGAGGTATACCTAACAAAGTGGCAGTGACTGTATATTAGCAGACTAGAGGTTTTGTATTATTAAAGATTCAGATCTATCTATCTGTCTGTCTATCTGTACAGCAGCACATTCAAATCCACAGATTTATCTTTCTTTTTTCTTTTTTCTGAAGCCCTACATTTAGAGCACAGCAGAAACATAAGCACCCCTGCTGGCATCGCATTTGTTAGCAGCTTGTCACCAGATGTCGTTGTCAGTTACATTCCGAAAAATAAAATTGTCATCCATTGTGAAAATGACACAAATCACGTACCCGACGCTGTTCCTTATCACCCATTTATACCCGATCGACACCAGATGAATTGAGTTTTTTGCCACGCCTGCACCACGGGCTTACAGAGGGGCTGACTGGCGGCGGGCAGATAGGATTTAGTGACTGATGATGGCAGATGGCAGTCTTAACACAAGCCGAGGAGATGTTCTGCTTTTGGAAATATAAAGTATTAAATGGTGAGGCCACCGAGAAATCTGTGCCCAGAGGTATGCTTAGAATAACTATAACGCTGCTGCGATGCTCAAGCCAACCAGGTCCAGATCGTGACTCCTTTGAAGTAGCGCCGTGTGCGCATGTCGGGTGTGTGCAGCCTGCTGTCATGTGGGTTCATTGTTTACATGCTGCCGAGATTTCAGAGAGGGCGTGTGTGTGTGTGTGTGTGTCCTGTGAAATCGGCCCCCGCATTTACGAATATACTTATGAATATAACGCCCTTTCCCCTACTCGGAGAAGCTACATTGTATCCCCGAAAATGTATCATGAGCACACTGAGCCGATAGCTTTCAGGACCACGGCCAGCTCCACAGCGAGAACAAAAGGCGGATTTGCGTCTCTTGATGTCAGGGACTGTCTGCTTTTTAATCTCCACGCGAAAAACGAATATCCCGAAAACAAACACCTGCTGCCTTATATTTTCTATTTAGAGGGAAAAAGAATTTCCCTTTATTTCACCTTGAATTATCAGATATTTTTAAATACACAGCATTTTATTTTAACCTGATTTTAGGTTTCTGAGCAGATGAGATGAGCTGGCAGCTTATAATCGGAGGGTCATTAATGCATTTCTGTGTGGGTTTTTCATGTTTTCCACTGTCTGTGCAGCTCTGAATGTGAGTGCAAACACTTGTGTTTCTGTGAACGTGTTCATTATGCATCAGATCACAAGCCCGTCCATCCATTTTCTACTTCTTATACAAGCCTGTGTTACAGGGAAGCAGCCTAAGCAGAGGTGTCCAGACCCGCTCTCTCCCCAGACACCGCCTCCAGGTTTTCTGTGGTTTTCTCAAGCCAGCAGAGAGACATGATCTCTCCAGTGTGTCCAGACTCTCCTGCGATGTCTCCTCACAGCTGGACATGCCCAAAATAACTCACATAGAAGTCACCCTTCAGGCCAGAAGCCTCATCCAGTTATACACATATATGTAAACTATAAAATATATATATACTTATTATATATAATATGAACTATATATATATATACAATATATATATACATATATGATATAATATATATACACTATATATATATATTATATATATATATATATATATATATATATATATATGGTATATATATATATATATATATATGATATGTATATATATATATATATATATATATATACATATATATATGTGATAATATATATATATATGTATATGTGATATTAAATATACTATATAGTATATATATATAATGTATACATATAATATAATAAAGTATAC